GGGGCTGCTGCTGCACTTCTTATCCGAGCACGTTATCGAAAACCAAAAAGCAAAAAGTTAAATTAAACTTATTTTGGGAGACAAATAACACTGATAATACTTTTTTTTTTTTTTTACAGATGATTGGCAAACTGAAAATTAGTTTTTTTGGAGAGCCGTGCACACACAAGTAGAGACTACTACGACATGCTACAAGTCAGGAAGTTCAGGAATGACGACAAAGCGGAAAGAACCAGACCCGTCGTAAAAATTTTAAACACAAAAAAGCCGAGGGGGGGAGGAGGAGAAGAAGAGGAGCTCGGGGTGCCGGAGGGACGGGAGGGGAGGCAAAGTTCAACGGAGCTGAAACTTTTAGTCGCATGAAAAGTAGAAACTTAAGCCACAAGTCTACTTACAAGAGGAAACCTTTTAAGACTCACAATGATTAATAAGTGTTAACACTTTGTTTGATCAAAGAGAGAGCGAGAGCCACGGGGGTTCCTCCGCTCCGCTCAGTTCTTCATCAGGCCGCTGCGCCTCCTCGCCAGCTTCGATCTGAGGGGACGACATGTTGCGATGAGGCAAAGGTGCATTCGTTCAAGAGGAACTGAAGACGGCACATGCAAAAGTATAGAAGTACCTTATCGTCCCTGCCAGCAGAGGGTTGAAGGCGTACAGCCAGTCGTTCATGTCTTTCTCATTGTTGGCCTGCAGAAGGATTCCTCGATGCTTTGTGCACACCGCAAACGTGTTGGGAGTCTGCAAACATCAAATATTCATCATGAGACGCAGCTTCATCAGAGGTGGAGAGACTAAATAATTAGATTTAAGCCAACGATTTTTCAAAAGAAGAAGTGGGTGTACTGGCATTTGGCTGAATGAAAGAAAAGTTGAGAGAGCACTCTGCCCCCTTTAGGCGCCACCAAAAAGCTCATAGTATAATTCTGGCTGGACATTTGAATACTCTTATCAGAACTAGCGGAACTCCTTTGAGTTGGCTGGTTTTCTGGCAAAGATCCTTGGTTGGTTTCGATCAAGACCGTTCCAGAATTCTTTCCATCTCGGTTCTTCTCAGTCCATGTCGACGTGACGCCAAGCTCACCGCCGGCGACGCTCGTGTTCCAGAACATTTCTGAGTTGTTCCTGAACATCACTTGTCTCACATCTGAGGTTCACAGTTCAGGTCAGATGGTTGACATATGGACATATGGCTGAGTGTTATGACAAAGTAACAATCTCAAAAGGCAAACTGAAGCAGCACTAAGCTTCAAGACGTTTTATGAACCGATCCTGCCAAAGGAAGAGGCCTAAAGTCCAGATTAAATTGTACCACAAACTTGCTGATGGGGGTGAAAAGCATCAGGTTTCTCTGCCACCCACAGAGGGACACTTATTCTGATAGGTTTAAAGAGGTCCTGATTGATGGAAATCCACAGCAAAATAAGGTTCTAGTTCATAAAAATGACAGAAGCTGTATATTGTACAATCAATCCGCCCTGGAAAAAGCAGCAGCTCAAACAGATCAATGAAAGCCTGAGCTTAATGTGACATTTACATTTATTATGGGTGTATTTAAACTTCTGATTCGAAACAGACGAGCACCTTGAGCATGGCCTGCTGGTCTTCGCTGTATTCCACCTGCGCCGTGGAGAGGTTGAGGACGCCTCGCTCCACCGGGTCCTTGTCGCTGTTGTAGATGAAGACGTACGGGCGGCGAACGACCACAAAGTGCTTCACCCACGTGTTGGAGCGCGGCTCCATGAAGCTGAGGAAACCTTTCTTAGACACCACAGACCTGAAATGAAGCAAATATATATAAATATATATATGTAACACCTTTACTACACAACTAATGCAGGTCAGACAATCCAACACCATTTCAGATGAGCCGCCATCATTTATTACTAACCCAGGCCTCATTTCCTCGATATCAGGCACCAAGTTTAAGAACTCGTTCTTTCCAGCCCGAGCAAGGTAGGACATCTCCAGAGTGGGAACCATCGGGAAGTTCTCGTAGTCCGAGCAGGAAGGACTGGAGGCACGGGAGTTGTTCTCTGGGGTCCTTTAAGACAGAAAGAAAAAAGTTAATGTCAAAATTGTCCACCATATGATTTAAATGCACTCGTAATGCATTATGTTGAAACCAATTGTTTTATAAGATCTTGTTGTGCGACCATCAAACTTGCTTTATTTTAGTAAATCTATTGTATCGATTATTCTGACATTTAAACAGATTTTTAAAAAAAAGAACATTCTGTCAATTTTTAATGTACACCTTTTTTATATGCATTATTCAAAATACATTAATAATTAGATAGCAAAAGGAGCTGATAAGAGATTTTGTTTTAACAGAATTTGAAGCAGGTGAAGCTAAAACTATGCCACTTGAAAGTTTCTTTTTGTATCTTAAATGCAAACTGTGTATAGTTTTTATTTACATTTATTTTGTAAATGTTAAAACTAGCAGGGGGAAAAAAAAATATCAAAACAGCTAATATCCACATCCTCCGTGGCTAATAATGCACCAATACAAGGAGAACATTGTTACTTTTGGTCTAAGGAGCTGCAGCGGGAGTCAGCCAGGGAGGGGCAGGTGGAGGACGGCGTGAGGGTGGCGCTGCTTAAGCTGGTCACCGATGGGTCTCGTCCGATGGGCGAGATGTCAGACAGCTGGAGAAGATGGCAAAACGTTAGGCGTGTTTACCCAGTCGAACGTGACCGGAGCGAGGAAAACATCCGAGTCGTTTCTCACCTTGCAGTCGCTGATGCTGTTCACCACCTGGCTGTAGTCGCTGTTGAAGGTGTGGGTCAGCAGGCGCAGACACTGCAACACAATATCCGTCAGCTCCAGGGAGCTCAGAAATCGCTGGCGTGCTTTCTTGCCGCGTGCGGGATTTCTCCTCACCTTGGAGGCGAGCTCCTTCTCGCGGTCCACCAGGCTCTCGATGTCCGCCGAGTCGTAGCCGCTGCTCTCGCTGGGCGTGATGGCGCTCTCGCAAGTGGCGCTGGAGATCTGCGAGGAGATGGAGGTGGAGGTGGACAGCGTCCCCGAGCTCATGCTGGGGGACAGAGACTCGCTCAAGGACTTGGCGGTGGGAGCCGTTCCCACCGGAGGCGCCTCTCCCAGCTTCTCCCTCAGTAGGAGGAGGTGACGGGTCTTCTCCACCTGAGGAGAGGTACGAGTTCTTTTATCTTTACATCATCAGGAGTTATTTGAGCTGCATGTTTTCACAGCAGCAAAAGAACATGACAGAGAAAGGGACCTGAGCCTTAACTGCAATTAACCGCATGATAAATTAAACTGAGCTTGGCAATTTTCCATTGTGATGATTATTATTTTTTTGAAGGGCAATTTTGTTTCACAGAAACTTCATAATTCATTTATTTATTTATGGCTTTGGTTGTATATAGGTTGATATTTCAGTTTTTCAGTATTTCAGGTGTTGTGTTTTACTTTGGATATTTAAAATGTCTCCTAGTTGCAGCGTTAAGTAGGGGTGCACCGATAAATCGACCCTGATTTCCTTAATTTTGGGAGATTGCCGATCATTCGATACTTGCATGTGGAGCCGATCACATCCACCGATTTTATCTACTTTGGTAAAGGTCTAAAAATCAGCTCTGCTATGACAGAGGTTTGACTGACAGACCCACGGTCATGTCTGCACGTTTGTAATTACTTTTTGCTATATTTGGAAACATTTCAGACAAATAAAAATAAAAATCACTTTTCCTTTTAAATATTGGTCATTGGCGACCATATGGAAAACTGCAATAGGTGCACCCTAAATGTTAAGTGCTCTTTACAAGATTAAAGTTAATTGGTCTTTGAAGTTGCAATATTATTCTATTATCAATATATTACTTGAAAATGGACTCAAAACATTGCTCTGAGACATTATCGTGTATTGCAATAATTACTGGGACAATTTATAGTCCAGCTAAATTTGAGCTGGACGAAAAAAACTTTGTTCTCTTCCACATAAGGTCAATATAATATTCCTGCCAGTGTTTTTTTATTTATCTTTTTGACCAACTGGTTCATACAACCTTCCTATGAGTAAGTTTAAAATGATTTGAAACATATTTTTTTTTAATATGTGAATGTCAAATCTGATTTCCAAGTTCCCACCTCATGCAGCTGCTCGAGTTTCTCCAGCTCCCACTGGTGCTCCAGGATCAAACTGTCCCCTCTGGGCCTCCATCCGGCCAGGTTCTCCTCCCCTCGCACGTAGGCCACGGAAGTGTCCAGAACCTTCCTCCTCCTCCGCTGCATCCCTGTGCAGGAGAACCCGGCTTGTCAACACAAAAGGTATAATGGCAACTATTCAGATGTTTCTTTGAAATCGTTTTCTCCTCGTTTACCAGGGCTTCCGGTGTCAGACATCTTGCACAGGCTGAGCTCATAGATGCCGGTGACGCGATTGCTGTAACAAAGCAGCAAAAAAAAAAAAAAAAAAAAATTTATTAAATGAAAAATTCAGCCAAAAGAGTGTGACGCGTGGTAATAATTGGAGATTGATTTCAGCTTGAACAGACTTGGCATGATTGTACGGTCAAAACCCAAAAGAATACGATCTACTTGCGGTCAATGAACACACCGTACCTAAATGCAACCGGGGCTTTACAGACCACACTTATCAAAGTGGCAGTTATTACTCCACAGACAAGTCTTAAAGGCAGCTATTCAAAGTACCAGAGAAGTACTTAAAATAATTAATACACAAGAAGAATTAAAGGAGGAAGAATCTGGTTTTCTGCCGTTTGTGAAAACTACTTTTAAGCTTCAGACCAGCGGATAACAGAAAGGCTGAATGTTTTACAGCAACATTCTCCCTCAGTAATGGAAATGCTGGATGTAGAAATATTTGTAGCAATCTGTAAATCTCTGAGAAGTGTCCACATTCTCAGGGGAACACACACACACAGATGTCACTGATTACAATTACTACAATCAATCATTTCATTTATTCTATGAAAATGTAAAACATCAATTCAAATATCTCTGTCAGAGTTTTGCACTAACAGTAAAATCATGTTTTACACTCCCGGTCAAAAAGCAAAACTGTAATCAGCAGGCTAAAGTTGTACACAAAACAGAACCTCAAAACTCAGACTGGCTTTTTTATTGGAGTGTTATACATCCGTGTTAATAGATGCACCAAAGTGCATCAACCTGCAGGCTTACCAGTCAGGAGTTTTGGAGTACCCACTCCCAAAGAGGTTCCTGAGAGAACGCGGCGGGGAGATCTTGGCGTCCCGGGAGTAGAACACCATGCAGATGTCTTTGGTGATGATGGCGGGCTGGATGCAGTGGTCCAGCTGAAAAGCAGAGGTGCGAGTGAGCCAACGTCCGAGACGCAGTGAGATCGCCGTGAGACAGAGCGGAAAGACAAACCTCCAGATATGCAGACAGAGTCATGTAGATCTTCTCTCCGTACGGAGTGACTCGATTCAGCAGGAGGGAGTTGTGCAGCGAGCTGTCCCACACAGCTTCAAAACGGTAGAACGTTCTGAAGGAAAAAAATATACATAGGAAAGCAACAGGAGTTGAGCTTTGGGAAGTCTCGTTTGAAAAAAAGACACTTTTGATGTTGCGTTTCTCGTTGTGACATGGGAGGTTGGGATTTGGCTAAAGAACTGGTGTGTGGATGTGCACAGGTCTAGATGGCTGAAAACGAAACTCTCTCACACTTTCAACGTGACAGGATGCGAGGATAAACACAGAGAAGACACAAAGAGGAGACAAGACTCAAGGTAGGAGATGGAACATACTGAGAATAAAGTTCAGCATGATGCAACTAAAAGTAAAGCTGCCTTTTTGAACATACTGATATGTATTCATTTTACAAACCAATTCCTTTTCGGTGAGGTTGCATTTATCCTTGTCTACCAGCAGGGGGAGCATTTACCCACAGACAGTGACCTTACTGAATGTTAGAGTAGTTAACAAAACAAAAAACTTGAATCAAATTGATAGTAGGTCAGCTCACGACTTTTATTTATACTAAAGTCACAAACTTATAAATGTATAAAAGTAGTGCTGATCAGGGTGCATTTGCATTTAGATCACCTTTGTCCATCAACATTTTGAGAGTTTTAGGAAATGAATGGTAATGGAAACAAAGGCATATCTTATGCAACAAGCAGGGAAGGGGCTTAGGAACCGAAAATCTATTAAACTTATTTCTAAGAGTCTAAGGGTTCTAAGAGAGACACATAAAGGTCCTTCATTGAAGGCCTTATGCTCTCTGATGAATGGTACCTATCAATATCCTTATCAATAGAAAGCCTGAGGACAATCAAGAGTCCAGCAGCAGCAGGAGGAAAGAGTCCACAGAATAAAAAGAGAAGCACAAAGAGTCAGGCAACAGAAACAATAAAGCACATCAACAACTGTAAATAAAAAACAAACAGAAAGCTCATGCAATGAATTCATTTTACCCTCAGAAACCATAAAGACAAGAACATTTTCACATATTTTCAACACAAAAACATGAAAAGCCTACACAACAACAACAACAGCAACAACAACAAACAGATGGATTGTCAGGTTTAGAGTTCATCAGAGCCAAAGTAGCTCTCAGAGTCCAGTCCACGTACCTGTTAGTGTTGTGGGATGACTTGATGTTCTTGGCAGAAATGATGTTTAGGGACAGGACGGCGTCGGCTGCGCTGTCGTCCACCTCGGCCTTGTTCCTGATACGACCTGATGGAGATACAACGGCATGACGCGTCAATACGGTCGCTGAGACTTCTTCTGGTGAGCAATAAAAAAAGATAAACACAACTCTACAAGCATCTGGTCAGAGTCCAGAGGCTGCATGTGAAAAATGTGAAATGTAATTATTTGGTCCATCTGCGGCAGCTGCAGTGTATAAAAAGCTTAGCAAGAGAAGCTGCCTTAAGCAAAACAGAAGCCTCTCTTCCCCTCCCATAGGTGTGTGTGGTATATTCACAGTAAAGCCTCTTCTAAAGGGTTTACCCTCACTTTTTTTTACCCCGCGTTACTGTCTAGTTTCCATTGGATCGAGTGAAGCTCTCGGACAGATGGCTCACCTACAACCAGCTCACGAACATCCTTCCAGTGGAGCTCGCTGCCCTTCTCGTGTATAAGAGTCACTGTGATCCTCCGCTGGATCCCCTGCAGAAAAGATGAAAGGAGATCAAGATTACGGCATAAAAACCACGACAACAGCAACAACTTGTACGTCAGTATTATTACAGATAGACAAGTCTTTATCTTCTGAGTTTTGGGGAGTGGCAAATGCTGTACCCTTACCTGGTGCAGAAGGTAGGTGCCGTGGCAGGGCAATCCGGCACTGTGATCCACGATAGCCGGGATGTACCTGTGTGGGGACAAAACCAGGTTAGACCTTTTATCGATGGGCTTCCCTGCATTTTTAGAGGCTGGATTCATCCCTGTGGGAACGGTGCAAAGGGACACACTCACTCTCCAGTCGGCTCCAGCTCGCTTATCTCGAACCAGACGAGCAGGTCGTACTTGCTGACGCACTGGCCCAGGTTCGACTTGGTGATGGTGTTCAGCTTGGTGGCTGGAACTATAAAAAAAACAACACCCATCAGCTAAGTATTTTAAATTCGACGTTTCAGTGAATTTCAAAACAACGTAGTCATGTCGTATGAGCGCATTGCTGAGTCTAGTGGATTATACAGGGCTTTGCAAAGGTAGAAACGCATTTTAGTTTTTGTCGCATCTCAACTGTAGACTTCAATGTGTTTTATTTGGACATTGTGATAGAAAACAACAACGTGAAGACACATTTGAAAATATGAAAACTGTAAAGGTGTATTTGAAAACAGAGGTGGCAGCATCATGCTATGGGGACACTGTTCGGTCAAAACTATTTGAGCCTCAACATGCATCCAAGCTACAACAGAACTCTAGAGATCAAAGTGTATCGATGTGCGAGGTCGGCCTAGTCAAAGTCCAGACCTAAAATCCAATTAAGAGCCTGTCGCGAGAGATGAAAAGGGATCATCACAGACGCCACTCATCTAATCTGACTGAGCCTGAGATTCCTTACAAAGATGCGACGTTTATAGATGTGACAAAGCATTTCCAAGTAGAAATGCATGCCACACTTTTCAGATTTTGATTAGTAACAGGTCGTTGTTTTTTTTTCTTTTTGAAAACCCACATGTCATTGTTCTTCATTTTATTGAAGTGTTTCGCTACAGCATCACAAATGTGAGAAATTCAATGAGTGTGAATGCTTTTGCAAGGGCCTGACCGAAAGGTGGAGACGGTGTGAGGAGTTAAATCACAGATTACACCAACGCTGACCGCTCCTTGCTGTCTGAAGTATCAGCAGGATTTAATTTAATTTAATTTAAATTTCTGCAAATTTATCTACTGGAAGGTAGGAGCTCCGGTCAGTCGAAGCAGCAAGGGGAGGTTTGAGCTGAGCCGTCGGGACCCAAACGCGATCACTGCAGTGCTCCGGTGTGCACCTGCAGGCGCTGAGCAGCACAAGAACAAAGCGCTAGTCTAATCACAAAACAGCATCTAGTGGGTTGGGGGGGGGGATCTAATGCCTCAACCGCTAACCGAGTCCTGTGTACCAACCGTGGTGCTTAGGCACAGTGAACACGGGGTCGTGGAGCGCTGAGAGGAAGGGGAAGTGCGAGAGCTGGTCAGCCTCGTCCTCCAGGCTGGCCACGGCGGAGGAGGCGAGGGCGTTGGCGTGCTCGGATAACGTGTCCAGCACTTTGCCGTTAACATAGCCGCTCACGAGGTAGCGGATCAACTCGATCTTACGGGTGTGGTCTGGGTGGGTGGTGTGTGTGTTTGTATGTGAACGGCAGAAAAGATGGGTGAATAGATGTGTGGAGGAAAATGGAGGAGTGGGGGGGGGAAGGCAGGACAGAGTTGGGTAAGAGGATTATAGAGATTGTAGAAAAATGATTCAATACGACAATAAAAAGATCCAAAGGAAGCGAGAAATGAAAAAAGGACATGTGAGGTATGGTTACATAACAAAGTCAAAGATACGGGGAAGTGATGGTGACAGAACATTTCACTGTATGGCGGCGTTGTGTGACGATTTGTTACCTGGTTTGGACAGAGGCATGGGGATGGGGTAGTATTTCCGTGACGGTGTTGGAGGACTGTTGAACACAAAGAAAGGAAATATGTATTCTAGTGCAAAATCTGTCTTCAATGAAGAACTTTTACCCTAACCGTTGAACATTTCCACATTTTGTTACATTTCAGTCACACATTTTTATTTGTATTTAATACGACAGGCCATCAGAAAATAGTTCCCTGTGTGGATAATTTGTAAACCACATTTTGCTGCAAGCCCTGAGGTTCACCTTTTCTCCCTTCAAGTGATTTTTAAAGACACTTTATTTCAGGGTATCAGAACAAGAAGAGGTTCTAGATTCAAATGTATGGCAAACTTTTCAGAATATTATCTGTAAAATGATTATTTTTTTAAATCATGTCTCCTTTTCCTCCATTTGCACAATAATTAATCACTATGTGTTCCGTCTAAAATGCAAATAAATCAGAAGTTTGCTTCTCTTATGCAACAACATGAGGAAAAAGATGAAGATGCTTTTGAAGGCCCTGTATTCTACATTTCTGTAGAAGGTATTTTTTTAAAAAGCTACCAACCTGATCAGGTCCTGGCCGTGGATGTGCAGCGGGTGCTGCTGATAGTGGCCGAACACCTCAAACACGATGGGCTTGTTCTTAATGTACTCAATAAAAGACTCCGTGACCTCCACTGAAACCTGCAAAGAAAAAAAGAAAAATTTAGTTTCTGGCCATGAGGAACGGTTTGGATTGAAGGAATGACGTCCACATGTCTGTACTCACGTTCTGGACGTGGTAGAAACCCAGCGGAGCTCCTTTGCCGGTGTTCTTCAGCGGCTCGGTGGAGAAAGCCTCGTCGTGGCGATGGAGAAAGCTGAAGCAAAACGGGAACACAAGTCAGAGTGATTAAATTCATTTAACTTGCGCACAAGCGTGCAACGCTGTTGCAGTTTCCCTAAGCCGAAGGCTTCGTGAAGCATCGCAAACCGATATTTCAGGCGACCTAAACGGCGCCGCTCTTATTTTCGAAGAATGTCGACTCACTTGAACTGGCAAAAGATGTCGGCGTACTCAGGTGGGACGCCACTGGCCTGGAGGACGGTCACGCGGAAGGTGAAGATGCTCCCCACCTCCAGCTGGCCTGCCAGACCCTCACTGTGACTCAGCTTGGCATCTGGGACGTTGCCCAGCTTCAGGTCTGAGGAGAACAACAGGGTCAGTTAAAAATGACCAAAAAAAATAAATAAAATTACAGCTGCTGGCGTGTGAATTGCTCCTCTTTATTCATCACTCCTGCTGTTCACTCATTTTTTTTTCTTTTCTTTAGCTTTTGTAAAAATTCTCTCACGCAGCAAATAAAAACCCCTGCATTCGCCTCATTTACACGACAAAGCTCAGCTTTGGATCCAGCAGGGACATCTGCCGGGCGCGTTCTCTGGCGAAGGGAAGAGAGGCTGAAAATTTACGAGTGCAGAGGTTGAAAGTCTGGCGGCCGTACCCATGTCGTTGATTCTGTTGAGCTCCTCGGAGGGTGTGATGACCTCTGAGCTCTGACCCTGACCCTCCACGATGCGCAGTTCCTCCAGGGACAAGCCGGACCGGGTCATGACCGTAGAGGGAAAGTCATTCTGATTGGACGGATAAAAGTCAGAGGCATTAGCATATAGCTGGTCTAGAGAGGGTTTGAGTTTCTAAAGTTTCTCTACCAAGTTGGTATTTTTGGAGAGAAAAAAAAAAAAATAGAAATAAAGTGTCTGCGCTTCAAACGGCTTTTCATGCGACTCCAGGCGGCTCACCTTTTTGAAGTATTCATCATCAAAAGAAATCTTGGCAGTCCCCGACTGTCTAACCCCGGACCCGTAATCTGGAGCCTCCTCGTCAGCTAGAAGAGAAACAAGCCCTCCTTTTATCCCAATCTGTCACAAACCTAAACTGTCAAAGCACATCAAAGGGAATAAATAAAGGATCTGAGGGAATCTCTGCGTTGCCAGCACATCGGATCCCTCAGGACTCTCCCACATGCTGCCACTGGAATCTCAAAGCCGAACTTAGAGCTACACATATTTTTGTTAGTTGCTGGTAATAATCTCGGAGCATTAGAGTTCTCATTAATTACTCACCAGCTATAGCCTGGACCCCCACGCGCAGGAAGCCTCGCACCTCGCCCTTTTCTGTAACTATGGCAACCCGGTGAACAAGCGGCACAGGATACAGCAGGTTGCTCAGGTACACAAAGGCTCTGGGAGCAAAAATTAAAACAAAAGGGAGAAGAGAAACAATGAACAACCGCAGCATCAATAACTGTGGCATTTATTTAGCATCTGAAGGTGGAAAGCTGAGGTTTGAAGATTTTACATGTTTACGACAAATTATTAACAAATATATACAGTAAAATATTAGTGACAAAGCAAATGAGAAGGCAAAAAAGACAATGTAATGAGCAAGAGCTCCTTAAAATCTCTTTTTATACTTAATAGTTGCATTTTTGTGTCTCATAAAGTTTAATAGTGGAATGACAGATTAGCAGATTGCAGCAGTAAAAGCTATAAAACAGCATTTTACAGTGTTGGCCATTGGCCGCACTGGTCTCACTGACATTTCGTTTCGCAAGACATGATTTGCAATTGCAGCGCTCCTATAACTCTATAACGACCCGCAGCACTTCGATGAAGTCTAATGCCCAAAACCAGAGCACAAGACATCCATCTGTAGAGTATCTGAAGTCAAAGTGATGCAGGGACCAACCTGCACCCATGTGATGTCTTATTTTGATGCACCGACCCTGCTTATTACTACGATATTATGTTTTCAGGAGAAGCTTCTCCATTTTGTACTTTTTTTGGTTACCCTGTGGCTGATGTTAAATAGCAGATCGACCAGTCTGCCACAGGCTGTGTTTTTACTGACCGTGCATCAGTTTACATCAACTTCAGGGATATTTGTACATGTATACAATTTTCTATCGTCTATCGAGTCTAGAGTAAGTAGTGTAAGGTAAGGTAGCAACGAGTTATTGGGACTGATCACATTTCAGGAGCAACCAAGTAGAACCAAAATAAATGTAAACAAGGTGGCAACACAAAGTTAAATATAATTAGGTCAGAGGTTTCAACTCTTATGACCGTTTGCCTCCAAAATTACTAAAAAAAAAAAAAAAAAAGAACACTAAACTACAGAAAAAACACCTGAACGTCACTGGTTTGAGCCTAAGAGTATGAAGTGACACAAAATGAAAAGGCAACATGTTGGTGCAAACATCGGGGCACAAACTGGGCAATTTTACTTGGAGGTGTAACAGCCCTCACAGTTATACGAGACCTAACTCTATTCAATGCATTTTAATTACTTAATACCTGCAAATTGTAAGATTTTTTACAGACTGCGCATGAGCTATAGTCTGTTTTAAAAAGCAAAAGTAAACATTGAAAAACGTTCTAATTTCCATTAAGCAGAGCTACTTAGTAAGATTTTTTAATCATCAGGAATCATTGGAAGCAAGCTAACACAACCAATACATAATAAATTAGACCCAGCTGTCAGCTACACCATGAGCCAGCTTTTTTTTTTAACAAAATAAGATATGAAGCATTAACCTTCACATTATTAGAGATGTTTTTAGACTGCTATAAAGGAATTTTTTGTGGTTTTGTTTTTATTTCAACTGCTAAATACACCCACTAAAGAAAGTAGATGATAAACTGTTTTCCTCAAATCGGTCAAATGACAAAAGTCCGAGTTCATACATTTCAGAAATAAAATGATTTCAAAGTAACACACACAAAAAAAAAAGAAAATGAAAACAACCCAAGTTTAAAAACAGAAAAAGCCAACAAAAAGGACAAGTACTTAGTTTGCTTAATCACAACAAATAGGCAGTTTTAAGAGACAGATGGGAGTTAATGCAGTCAGCAGAGTGTGGTGGTGGAGGATGAGACATCTGACAGGAGGACGACGGCAGGAGGTGGTGCTGGCTTTTCATCGTTCTTAGGAACAGAGTCCAAATTAAAAGTAGATTTTCGACAGTCGACCTCAGAGCACAGAAGGATGACGAATTATGTTAAATTAAATAAAAAAAAAAACATTTATTTCCAGCTTCTCTGAGTCTGAGAGAAAAAAAAAACAAAACAACTACAATTACATTCAATTATACTCTAATCTTTGATACTTCAGCTACTCTTCACTGCATCCACCTAAAGTGAAACAAACCAACAACAGCTCTCCTGTCCCAGCCTCCGTGTGCAGAGGAAGAGGAAACGCCCAGATCACCGACCTTCCCACCAGGATGAACCAGGGGGAGCGGTCGTAGAAGGGGTCCTGCCCGTCGCTGAAGATGTCCGAGCCCTCTTCGGTGCCCGCGTCCGAGCTCGTGTCGTCCACAAACGCCTCGTCGTCTATGAAGTCCGACATCTCGCTCTGGCGCTCGTCCGCCAGCTCGGTGATCTCCGAGTCGGAGGTGGAGAACGTGGGCGAGGGCGTTCGGTCGGCCAGGTGCTCGTTGACGCAGCCGTTGAAGATGGGAGAGCTGCTGGGGGAGCGAAGGTTTGGGAGTGGCGGCGAGGGTAACAGTGGAGTCAAAGAAGAGTTAAAAAAAAAAAAAAAGCTTCAGGCGCTTTGTGAGGCATCAGTGATCTCATTTCATTTTGAAAGATTCCTGCTGTTTTTCTAAGTTTTCAGAGTTCCTACACATTTTTTCATATAAATATTTTAGACTTCTGGAGACTCAGCTCTCCAGAGCTCTCAGTTCTTTGCAAAACATAAAATCCTAAAGCTCACTATAGCTTTGTAAGAGATATTTCACAAGTGGATTCAAATGGGAAATCTTCAAAACTAAATTAAAAGGATGGAAAGAGGACAAAAAAAAAGGACAAGTGAAAATATTTATCCAGATCTGAAAAATACTCAGATCAAATTCCAAACTGTGTAGGAACCCTGCTTTAATTCAAATAATTAAAAATAAAAAGAAAGCCTCACTTTTCACTGCATTAACTACATGCATTCATTTAAAGCAAAAGCCACTGAAAAAGCTTTGCAGTTTAGGATTCATTTCATAAGGAGCTAATCGCAGGTGTCACAGCAAATACCAGAAATGCTATTTTAAACCAACATGAATAACGGCACATTAATGGATTAGCATGTAAATCTCCTCATGTACGCCGTCTGAAAGAGGATAAAACACAAAGCGCCAACATTCCCACCTCACCCAAACCCCATGTTAACATGAATTAAAGGACGCATCAGGAAGAGCATGGCAACCAACGACAGTACAAAGTGATGCAGAAATAAAGGGAACACAACAAATGGTCACAAAAACTCAAAATGTGACGTGGAGTAAAATAAACACACATTCAAATAAAAATCAAAATAAAAAAAAATCACAAAAACAAATAAAATGGACAAACAAATTTAAATAATGAACAAAACATCATCTGGTATAAATGACAAAACATGACGTGGAAAACGTGATATGACTGATACATGAATCTCCAATGAGAAATGATGGCAATGAAAAACAAAACGCATGAAGAAGTCCTAAAAGCTTCAGTACAGCTTTGGGAAATAATACAAAACAAATTTTTAAACACAAATGAATAATACGATCTAATTGCTCCTCTTAAAAACAATGAAAAGTGTAGCAACATTTTTTTAAGCCAGCTTAAATACGCTCATACTGGTAACCAACCCTTCCCCGGTATTGTTTAATAAATTTGTTACAAAAGCAATAAAAAAATAAAATAAAATAGCAAGAACCAAAACTATTTAGTTTAAATGTGTAGCGTTCATATTCGGCTACAAACCTCCCCACGAGCTTAAACCAGTGGAAACGGTCGTAGAACGGGTCGTTTCCCGTCAGAGTTCCCTCTCCATCGCCATCCTGGTGAGCGGAGGCCATTTCTCCAGCGCGGTCGTACATCTCCCTCATCTGCTCCAGCCTCTGCCTGTAAATGACCACATGCACTCAGGATTAATGGATGCAGGATGGGAATTTACAGCTCACTAAAAAAAACTGGACGGGGAGAAAAACTGATGATGTACAGATGATATGAATTTGACTATTTTCTCTGTAGAGATAAAAAAAAAAAGATGATTCAGAACGATTGATTTTTAAGATACTGTATACAAATGACTTTTTTGAAACTCCTACTACAGATGCCTATATCTAATTAAGTCAGAGCAATAATCAAACAGTTTGCTACAACTGTAGTAGAAGACACTCTACTACATCATGTGTGTGCAAATTAAGGTAATTTTTACTTGAGTTTCTCCAGGGACCAGTAGTGTGTAGCTCCGTTCTTCAGGTCCTGAACCTCGACAGCGACCACGGTGCGAGGGAAGGGCCTCGGGTCGCGTTCCTTCTCCGGCTCTGGGGGCAGGAGTTCAGGGGGCAGCGGAGAGTACAGCGTGTCCGTCAGCAGGACGAACTGGAACTGGACCTGAGGAAGAGGGAGAATTTAGGAAGGACTTCACCCTCAACGAGTCGCTTTGGGCTCAAACTGTTACCAAAACTTGACTTTAAAACATCCCGAGAAGGAAAACTCGAGATGAAAATCCTGTGTAAGGTGACTCTTCTGCAGCGTCTTGTGGTTTATGTGGAGTGTAAATCCCTTGGCTTCCTGGTGGAAGGGAAACTGCAGCGAACCGGCTTTAGATTTACTTCCACTTCAATTTGTCTATGCGACAGTGGATCAATGCTGCATTCTGGATGATTTAAAAGTCAGACTAGAGCGTAGCTCCTCTACCATTTTATTCCCCCCCCCCCACCACATTCAGTCAACATTACATTAAATTGTCACGTTCTGAGCAGGTGGATGTAAAACTATGAGGGAGATGCAACATCTTAGCTAAATAATATCAAAGGTAAGGCACACAAAGTCCAGCAGAGTCATAATGTGTATTTTGGACTCAGTTTTCTGCTGTGACTGACTGCCAAAACCCGTTTAACATCTAAACATCAGCAGATGCTTTTGGTTTCCCTCGTGATGCCCTGCATTGCCTGAAGACATCACACAGGTTTGGGTTTAGAAATCTAGTCGGCAGGATATGCTACGTGTCATTTCTAGTCACACAACTGGGAGATCATTTAAAGGCTGCAGGAACGAGAGACCCCAAATTAAAAATGTAATTTGATAACTGTCTTCTCATGGGACAAAGCAGTCTAATTCAGTCAAATTCAATTCAATCCAAAATTGTCACAAAATTGTTTTAGATTAAAACTGCCCATCTAAAGTAGACCTACTTATTTATCCATTTTGCCCGATCGTGCAATAAGTATTAAGAACAGGCCACAGGCTGTATTTTAGCATTGCAACTGGATAATCCCAGAAACTCTCCGATCCAATTAAAGTTCTGACTTTGATCCACCGAGAAAAGGTTAAGGTAATACAAAGCATAAATTACCCAACAGCTCCACTCATTAAGGATGATGCACACGTCATATTTCTGCATCATAAACAATTTCCAGAACATTTAAGAAATATACCAAAAAAAAAA